CCCTTAAATGAACAAGAGAACTGGACCACATCTCCCAGCCGTGTCACCAGCCGGCTCCTCCGTGCCAAACACACGCCGTGCCTTTCAGGGGGGGCTCTGGCCCCCCTGCCTTTTGCAACGCAGCAGCGCGTCCTCCCTTCCATCCTCTCCATTTCTCGTCCATCCCCGTGCCCGCCGGCGGGATGCTGCTCCGTCCTGTCTACCTGCCCCGTCTCAAACCGCGTGATCCCCCTCAGCCCTCCCGTGCAGGGAAGTTCCAAATGGAAGACTGAGAAATGTGACTTTGGAATAAATACTCTTTCCTCTGGGTTTTTTTCCTGCTGTCACTGAGTTTGGGAAGATCCTTTGGGGAGACGCTGTGGAAGTTACCGATGTCCGAGCAGCGCCTAGAGCAGCAGTAGCACACGCAAGTCACGTATTTACACGGCAATGTCACATGGTAATGTTCACAGTCACTTTAAAAGTTCAGTATTAAATCTTTGATGCTTTTTTTTGGTTTTTTTTTCTCCTCTTCCTTTTTTTTCTAATATTTTGCTGAAGAAAATGTAACTATTTATTTTGGCAGAAATATACCTTATAATAAAAACTTTCTCAAGGCATTTACCTGGCTGTGGTTGCTTGCTGGCCTTTACCGTTTGAAGGTTTTATTAAATATTTTTGGAACACGCTGTGAGCTGTGGGTTGGTCTTGGTGGGCCCTATCCTGTTCAAAAATCTCTGGGTAAACATGCATGAACAGGGCATTGACCTAGAGGTGGAAAATGCTGCGTTTTGCCTCGGTTTGGACCTCCTCAAGCCCAAAATGCCCCAAATATCAAAGATGGCACCATGGAGGTTGGGGTTTGTCACTGTGGGTGTCAGAACTGCTGCAGGGTTTGGGTTATGTTTATTTTTTTTACTTTCTCCAGACTTCGGACAGCAGTAAGCTGTAGAAAGACTGTGGGATTGTTCCAACATATTTTAACTTAACCAGGTCGCTCCAACCTGGCCTTGAACTCTTCCAGGGAAGAGGCTTCCACAGCTTCTCTGGGAAACATGCTCACCCCCTCACAGGGAGAAACTCTGAGAGGGGATCTTGGGGATCCTTTTAGGTGCTGCCACAGCGTGGGCATGAGGGTTGGAATTATCAGAGCCTGGCAGCTGCTAATCAGCTTTTTCACTCCTAATCATGGCACAATCAGTGCCTCGATCCCTGAAAGTTGGTCTTTCCTT